TCCCACTCCTCTTATCTTCTGCATCTAAGTTTAGCACCTTGTTTCCTGTTTTTTCTTCTGACCTTCTTGTCACACGCCCACACCATATGAGCCTAGTTCTCTCAGGTTCTCCATAATTGGTTCTACTTTCACTCTTTCCCTAATTCGCTCATGTCAAACATCGTCCATCTTTGTAACTCCAAGCATCCATCTTAACATTTTCACTTCCTCTGTCTTCAAGAATAGCCCCTGGCTCTTCCTCAGTCCCTGGCTTTCAGAGCCATACAAAAGTGCAGCCTGATCAATGTCCTCTAGATCTTACTTTTCTGTTTGACAGGTGTTCGCCTATCACAGAGCACACCCTCGCTTCTCTCCCTTTACTCCGTGCCTTTCATAGTCTGCTTATAAGTTTTTTTGTTGAGTTCATCATTTTCCTGTACTATCATAGAATTGTAGGAATGGAAGAGACCTCGAGAGGCCATCTAGTCCAGTTCCATGCACTCATGGCAGGACTAAGTATTATCTAGACCATCCCTGACAGGTGTTTGTCTAACCTGCTTTTAAAAATCTCCAGTGATGGATTCCACAACCTCCTTGGTAATTTATTCCACTTCTTAACTATCCTGACAGGAAAGTTTTCCTAATGTTCAATTTAAACTGCCGTTGCTGCAATTTAAGCCCATTGTTTCTTGTCCTATTATCACAGGTTAAGGAGAACAATTCTTTCCCCTCCTTCTTGTAACAACCTTTTATTTACTTGAAAACTGTTATCATGTCCCTTCTTAGTCTTGTCTTTTCCAGACTAGACCCACATTTTTTAAAATCTTTCCTCATAGGTCATGTTTTGTAGACCATTAATAATTTTTGTTGCTCTTCTCTGGACTTGCTCCAATTTGTCTACATCCTTCTTGAAATGTGGCGCCAGAACTGGACACAATACTCCAGTTGAGGCCTCATCAGAGTGGAGTAGAGCGGAAGAATTACTTCTCGTGTCTTCCTTACAACACTCCTTCTAATATATCCCAGAATGAGGTTAGCATTTTTTGCACCAGCATTACACTGTTGACTCATATTTAGCTTGTGGTCCACTATGACCTCCAGATCCCTTTTCGCAGTACTCCTTCCTAGGCAGTCATTTCCCATTTTGTACGTGTGCAACTGATTGTTCCTTCCTAAATGGAGAACTTTGCATTTGTCCTTGTTGAATGTAATCCTATTTACTTCAGACTATTTCTCCTGTTTGTCCAGATAATTTTTAATTTTAATCTTACCCCCAAACCACTTACAAGCCCTCCCAGCTCAGTATCGTCCGCAAACTTTATAAGCGTACTCTGTATGCCATTATCTAAATCATTCATGAAGATATTGAACAGAACCGGACCCAAAACTGATCCCTACGGGAACCCAATCGGTATGCCCTTCCACCGTGACTGAACCACTGATAACTACTCTCTGCAAACGGTTTTCCAACTGGTTATGCACCCACCTTAGAGTGGCTCCATATAGGTTGTATTTCCCTTGTTTGTTTATGAGGTCACGTGAGACAGTGTCAAAAGACTTACTAAAGTCAAGATATACCACGTCTACCACTTCCCCCCATCCACAAGGCTTGATACCCTGCCAAAGAAAGCTGTCAGCTTGATTTGACAAGATTTGTTCTTGACAAGTCCATGCTGACTGTTAATTACCACCTTATTATTTTCTACGTGTTTGCAAATTGATATTGAACCTGTAAAACATGTGTAGCTTTGCTAGAGACTGGTCCCAGACTCACAAGCCCATTGTCTTCCTGCGGGAGAGCATTGAATCTACAGACCATATACTCTGATTTCTTCTGCTGATTTGCATGCCGTTACTTTCCAATATGCACCTCCATGTCTCTCTGTATCTTCTTTCACTTCCTCTTTCCTCTCTCCCACGAGCACTACGTCATCTGCAAAAGGCATGTGCCGGGGGCTACTCTCTGGCTGCTTTCTGTCAATGCCTCCAGCACCGAAGTGAACAAAAAGGGCTTAGTCCCAAGCCTTGATGTATTCCAGCTGTTACTAGAAACTGTTCCCTTTCTCCACATGAACCTCGCTCTGTGGCAACAGCACCATCGTACATGTCCTGCACATGTCTGATATAAAAGCTTTATTCACTCAATGAGGGGTGTCAGGATCAGGCCCTTAATAAGGCAAATACCAATCTCGGTCGCCCTTCAGCGCCTGCAGAACTAACCCTCTGCCCTGGGTCTCTCTGCAGGTAAATCGGAGCAGCGGAAGTAGCAGTTTTTGCTCTTTCTTTAATTCAACCTTAAACGTTTTGATGTCCACGTGCAGAGATGGGAATGCAACATTATCACTGGAGGTGAGAGGCTCCATCCCTTGAATGTGCCCTGCAGACTAGTGCCCCTGTGTGTGCCCCAGAGCCCTGTGTGCTGCCGTGCTGGGTTAGGAGTCTCATCTCGGGGGAGGGAGCCATGTAGATAACTCTTCAGACAAGATCTGTGCCCTCCACTGCTGTGGGGAGCGGGGGTGCACCCTCTACTGTTGTTTGTCTGTATCTGCGCGCACATGCCCTCTAGTGGTGTGAGTGCACGTTTGTGTTTATCCACCCATATGTGCCCTCTAGTGTTCAGAACTGTTGTTGTTCTTCAGAGGTGCTATACTGCTAACAGTTAATGGGGATTCTCCTCAGCTCATCTGTCAGTGACCTAAGACTTTCAGGCAGCAGGATCTGGGCTCTATCCCTGCCCTGACAGACATTTCTGAGCAACTGCAGGATGCAGCATAGAGACAGCCTAGGCAGCTGTGGGCTTGTGACAATGTTGTTCCCTGGCATCTGTTATGGAGCGATGGGGTAGCGGGAGTGAAGAAGGAAGGACAAAGGGTTCTAGTCCCATTTGGCTTCAGGTTCCAGTGGGGCCCTGAGTTAGCCTCAGTGGACCCCCTTTGTAAAAGGCTCCCCCTCTGAGAATATTGCTTCCCCCTGAACTGGGAGAAGCTGTGATGCCCGATGCCCCCTGGGAACACATGGGATGTGGAAACTGAACCCACCGACTCCTCACTCCCAGGGCCTTTTCTTTCCTGTCTCCAGGAATCAATTCTCCGATTCAACACCCTCCTGAACAGCACCTCCCTCTGGGATGGCGGAGACAGGGGGGACGTGGGGTCAGCCGTGACAGTCCTGCTGCAGAGCGTAGAACTGGCCGCACTGGCCACTGCACTCCGATCTCCGGAGAGGACACTGAACATGACGACAGAGTCGATGGGTGAGAGGGGACATGTGACTCTCAGGGCAACCTACTGCCTGCCATGAGATACGGGGTTATACACTGTGCCTCAAATCCACTGGAAGTTAGAGCCTATGTACCGTTGTGGATGTGAGCCTGTGTTCAGTACAGACACAGACCAGCACTGCCCCTGCACCAGGAAGTATAACCCAGACCCTCCAGTGACCCGAGGAGCAACAGCAATGCCCGAGAAGGGTTTAAATGCAACATTTGCCATTTCACAACTAGGGGCTGTGATGCTGAGCCAGGCACATCCCCCCACACCCACCACCCTCCCTCTGGGGATGCAGCATCCCCAGGGAGACACAACAGGAATGGGGGGAGGGGATGTGGGGGGTGATCAATGGAATTCGGGGAGGGGAGCTCAAAACTTCCCCCTCCCACCGTGTAGAAGAGCCCTGAAGCCCCCCAGCTCCAAGTGGAGTGCGGGGGGAGGGGGGATGTGGATCTGTCCCAGAATGGACAGATTCCCAGGGAAGTGGTTTCACAGCGAGGGGCTCTGTCATTCCTCACCCCCACCCCCTGCAGCTGTCCAGACGCGGCTCGTCACAGGGAACTGCAGCCAGGACAGTGAGGTCTTCACACTGAGAGCTCACGAGGAGACGATGGATGTGCACTGTGATACAGTCCCCAGGGCAGCCACACAAGGTACCATCCCAAACCAGGGCCCAAACTACGGCACAGAGTGGTTCCCTGGCACCGAACCCCAGCCCTTCCTCCCCTTGGATCCCCAGGCCGGGCCCTGGCCTCTGTCTCTAGCCCTGGAGGGCTCCTTGCTGGCTGAGCCAGTGGTTCTCAGGCTGTGGGTCATGGAGCTGACACCTTCGTTCCTGCCTGTCCCACAGCTTGAGCCCCGAGCAGTGAGGAGTTGGGGGTGCAGAGGGGAGACGGCTCATGAGAGGGTCTCTGGTATGAAGTGGGCCCAGAGAATGGAAAGGGCAGGGATGCCCTAGTCTAGCTAGACCCCGAAATGGAGATGTGGGGGACCAGGATAACGCGTACCCTCAGCTGCCGTATTCAGGGCCCCGAATCCTCCAGCACCAGGGGAAGCTCATTCCTGGCCAGCCCCTCTCCTGGTCTCGCTGAGAAAAACTGAACTTTCATCTCTGCATCCTGCAGCTCGACGTTTCCAGCTGGACGCGTTCCTGGGGGTTCCGGGGTAGGAGGTATCATGGTCCATTGGCTAAACCTTAAGAGTGGTGGCCAGGAACCTGGGTTCCATTCCCAGATCTGCCACAGACTCACTGTGGCCCCTGGGCACCCGGCCGGCTCCTTCTTTGCCATAGCGACTCCATCTCCCAGCAGGTTTGGGGGCTGTTGCTTTTATTTCCTACTCCACCCTGGACTCCATCATCACTGCGAGACGTCTCAGCGAGGGAAATCTACCGGCTGGTGGGAAGCTGGAGAAGAGTCATCTCAACTCCAGGGTGGTGAGTGGGGCCGTCGGAGATGGGAGACCCATTAACCTCTCCAGACCCGCACACTTCACCCTGCGCCACAGACAGGTGTGTGGAGGGAGATCCCCTTGCTTTGCTCCATATCTGGGGCTCCAGAGGGGTATATAGAAGGCACCATCTCCTCCCGATATTTGGACCATGCTGCCTTTCTGGCTCCCAATGCTCCTGAGGAGCAGAGGCCTCCTTATTCCTGACGCGTTGGGGCTGTTTTATTGGAAGAGGTTACCGGGGGTCACACCACGACCATGCAAAGTGCTCTAGGGTAGCAGCTCTGCTTAGCTCACCCCTGAGCCAGAATAACTGGAAAGCCGCTTTCTGTAGATATTGGGGTTCGAATCAGCATGAAATTCTTTTATATGGTAATGAAGTGGTTAGGCTGCCTATGTGTATGTGTGTACACAGCACTGCCCTCTACTGGATGCAGTCAGAACTGCTCAGCCATGTGCCATGTGCCTAGTAGTGCTAACGGCTAGCAAGGATTTATTTCCCTATCGCTCCAATAGCAGGGCCTGTGCTTTTGGAGCAGTGGGTTCTCCGTTCTCTCTCCTCTGTCACCGGGATGGCCCCAGTGGGCACTGGGGGCTGCGTGGGGAGAGCCGTGGAGCTGTAGGTGGCCTTGCTTTGCTATAGACGTGATAAGAGAAATGATGTTCTGTGGTCCCATGAGGATGAGGATGTTTCTGTTGTGTTTTCAGGTCAAAAAAGAGGAGGAAGAGGCTCTCTGTGTCTACTGGAAAGTAGTGGCCGAGAGCGGCAGCTGGTCTCCGGACGGCTGCACCGCCGTGCACACGAACAGCACTCACACCAACTGCAGCTGTGACCATCTCTCCAGCTTCGCCGTCCTAATGGCTCCCACCAGAGTGATGGTATCTCACCGTGAGACTCTGATCACAGGGCTGGACCCTGAGCTCCACACTCAGCTGTGGGCAAAGCTCTCCCTGGACTGACTGGAGTCTTTGCTGTGGAAAAGGCTCAGTTGGAACCGAGGGGGCTGGGCTGGGCTCACTGGTGATTCTCTCTTTGCTGTGTTACAGGAGAGTTACACACTGACCATCATCACCTACGTGGGACTGATCCTCTCCCTGCTGTGCCTCTTCCTCGCCATCCTCACCTTCCTCCTGTGCCGCTCCATCCGCAACGTCAGCACCTCCCTCCACCTGCAGCTCTGCCTCTGCCTCTTCCTGGCCGACCTGCTCTTCCTCACCGTGGTTACCCGCACCCGCAGTCAGGTACGGCCTGATTCTCCCCTGCTCCTTCTCATTCTCCCCCTTCTCATTGCTGGCCTCCTCCACTAGCAGCAGGTGTATGACTTTGAAACCTTTGTGATCCCTGGATTCTGGGCTGTGCAGGAAACTGTGGGGATTCCCAGGGGGATGTTTCCACCCCCTGTTAGGCACCTTCTCACTCGGCAAAGTGGTCTGAGTGTCCCCAACCTCTGGAGTTCAGCCAGTTCTATCCCTATGTCACAGGCTGTGCTTCGATTCCTCTCATATGTGACTTGCCCATGGTCACCCAGAGACTCTGTGGCACGGCTAGGAACAGAACCTGGATCCCCTGAGCCCTGTTCCCCTGCTCTTATCACAAATCTCTGCTCCCTTCCTGCATCAGCAATGTGCACCTGCAGGACCCTCCATAGACTGAGGAACCTGCCGTCTCTGGGTCACGGAGCGCTATAACTGGAGAGCTGTGCTAACAAGAATCCCAGTGTGACCCCCCCCAACAAGTCTCCCCCATACTCAACATTTCCCTTCCCCACCGCAGTGTCTCTCTGTCTCCCCCAGGTGGTGTGTGCTGTCATTGCTGGCCTCCTACACTACCTCTTCCTGGCCTGCTTCTCCTGGATGTTCCTGGAGGGGCTGTTTCTCTTCCTCACCGTCAGGAACCTGAAGGTCGTGAATTACACCAGCGCCAGCCGGTTCAAGAAGAGATTCATGTACCCGTTCGGCTACGGATTCCCAGCCCTGGTGGTGGCTATTTCTGCAGCGGTGAATCCTGACGGCTACGGAACTTCCAAACAGTACGTGCAGCGCCCATCCCGAAGGGGAGCTGGGATTTGACTCCCATGCGCTTGTCCAGCTCACCCCAGGTCTGACTTGAACCTAGATTTCCTGGCTCACCCTGCCTGGGAGCTGAATGTCCCCCTGGGACCCTTCCCATCCCCAGGGACACTAAGCTGCCCCAAGCACTATATTTTAGTTGCCCACCTGTCAGACATCTACTCTCCTCACCCCACTGATGATGTGGAAGAACAAGCCAGAAAGATTCCAACTTGACTCCCAGCTCCCAGGCTGGGTTTGTGGGGCTGGTGGGTAGGAAACAAATGCACCTTCTTCCCGTGTGCAAATCCCTGAGGATCCCCTCTCTAAAGTGAGCGACTCACTAAAACAGGGCATGGCGTGTTCTAGACACCCCAGGCTAGATCCTCAGCTGGTGTAAATCAGGGCACCTCCACTTCCTTCAGTGCAGCGAGGCCAATGTCCATCCGCTGCATGTCTGGCCCTCCAGCAATACTGCGCCCATCCACCAGAAAGGGTCATTGAGGAGGTGGAAGAGGACGTGGTGGCTGGAAGCAGGAGATGCTGAGGTACATGGGGAGGGCTGTTTACCTGCTGCCCACAAGAGAGTCGGCCATGTCACAGGCAGGCTGAGATCCATCTCGCTTTTGAGAGCCAGCTGCCCTGTGACCCCCCCTCTCTGCCCCCGGGGCTGAAAAAGGGCAGTAATCCCATTAACATCACCTTCTTCTTCCTCCTTCTTGCTAGCTGCTGGCTCAGCCTGGACAGAGGCTTTCGTTGGAGCTTCCTGGGTCCAGTCTGTGCCATAATCCTGGTGGGTACCTCCCAGAACCACAGGGACCCATTCTCCTCTCACCTCTGCCACCCCATTGATTTCAGTGAAGCAGGGAGGAGAACGTGGCCCATAAAACACAAGCAAAGACCCAGTTATGTCCCACCTGGCTCATCTGCTGTGGTCAGTCCCAGGATGAGTCCCTGGGCTGTATCCCCAGGCCTACAGCCTTTACTTGGGCACAGCTCCCATGGACGTCAGTAGGAGTTTTCCCAAGTGAAGACAGCAAGTGTTTGATCCAGTCTAGTTAATGACCCAAGGAACGAGGAAGGGAGAGGGCTACACTCTGCAGTGGCTTTTATAAGGGTGGAAACAAGTGTCCCTACATATTCCTCCCTACCCCCTATGGAAGTTGGGAGGGGGGGATTTGTTACAGCCTGAAAATGGCAGGAAGTATTCTAAAGGCAGGCTCTGGAATCTCTTAGCCAGATCCTGCTCTCAGTTACACCAGTGTAAACCCCAAATAACTACTGACTCCACTGGAGAGGCTCCATATTTAACCCTGAGCAGCATGTGGGCTCTGTGATCCCATTGATCCATCTCAGCCCTAGCTGTGCTGTCAGCTCCATGCCTGGGGAGGGACCGAGAGCTGCTAAGGGATATTACAGGAGAGGGCATGATTCCCACCGGAAATCATAGAATCATAGAATATCAGGGTTGGAAGGGACCTCAGGAGGTCATCTAATCCAACCCCCTGCTCAAAGCAGGACCAATCCCCAACTAAATCATCCCAGCCAGGGCTTTGTCAAGCCTGACCTTAAAAGCCTCTAAGGAAGGAGATTCCACCACCTCCCTAGGTAACCCATTCCAGTGCTTCACCAGCCTCCTAGTGAAAAAGTTTTTCCTAATATCCAACCTAAACCTCCCACACTGCAACTTGAGACCATTACTCCTTGTTCTGTCATCTGGTACCACTGAGAACAGTCTAGATCCATCCTCTTTGGAACCCCCTTTCAGGTAGTTGAAGGCAGCTATCAAATCCCCCCCTCATTCTTCTCTTCTGCAGACTAAACAATCCCAGTTCCCTCAGCCTCTCCTCATAAGTCATGTGCTCCAGACCCCTAATCATTTTTGTTGCCCTCCGCTGGACTCTTTCCAATTTTTCCACATCCTTCTTGTAGTGTGGGGCCCAAAACTGGACACAGTACTCCAAATGAGGCCTCACCAATGTCGAATAGAGGGGAATGATCACGTCCCTCGATCTGCTAGCAATGCCCCTACTTATACAGCCCAAAATGCCGTTATCCTTCTTGGCAACCAGGGCACACTGTTGACTCATATCTAGCTTCTTGTTCACTGTAACCCCTAGGTCCTTTTCTGCAGAACTGCTTCCTAGCCATTTGGTCCCTAGTCTGTAACAGTGCATGGGACTCTTCCGTCCTAAGTGCAGGACTCTGCACTTGTCCTTGTTGAACCAACCAGTTTTCTTTTGGCGCAATCCTCTAATTTGTCTAGTTCCCTCTGTATCCTATCCCTACCCTTCAGCATATCTACCACTCCTCCCAGTTTAGTGTCATCTGCAAACATGCTGAAGGTGCAATCCATGCCATCCTCCAGATCATTAATGAGGATATTGAACAAAGCCAGCCTCAGGACCAACCCTTGGGCACTCTGCTTGATACTGGCTGCCAACTAGACATGGAGCCATTGATCACTAGCCTTTGAGCCCAATGATCTAGCCAGCTTTCTATCCACCTTATAGTCCATTCATCAATCCCATACTTCTTTAACTTGGTGGCAAGAATGCTGTGGGAGACCGTATCAAAAGCTTTGCTAAAGTCAAGGAATAACACATCCACTGCTTTCCCCTCATCCACAGAGTCAGTTATCTCCTCATAGAAGGCAAGTAGGTTAGTCAGGCATGACTTGCCCATGGTGAATCCATGTTGACTGTTCCTGATCACTTTCCTTTCCTCTAAGTGCTTTAAAATTGATTCCTTGAGGACCTGCTCCATGATTTTTCCAGGGACTGAGGTGAGGCTGACTGGCCTGTAGTTCCCTGGATCCTCCTTCTTCCCTTTTTTAAAGATGGGCACTACATTAGCCTTTTTCCAGTCATCCAGGACCTCCCTGGATCGCCATGAGTTTTCAAAGATAATGGCCAATGGCTCTGTAATCACATGCGCCAACTCCTTTAGCACCCTCGGATGCAGCGCATCCGGCCCCATGGACTTGTACTCGTCCAGTTTTTGTAAATAGTCCCGAACCACTTCTTTCTCCTCAGAGGGCTGGTCACCTTCTCCCCATACTGTGCGGCCCAGTGCAGCAGTCTGGGAGCTGACCTTGTTCGTGAAGACAGAGGCAAAAAAATCATTGAGTACATTAGCTTTTTCCGCGTCCTCTGTTACTAGGTTGCCTCCCTCATTCAGTAAGGGGCCCACACTTTCCTTGACTTTCTTCTTGTTGCTAACATACCCTTCTTGTTACTCTTAACATCTCTTGCTAGCTGCAACTCCAAGTGTGATTTGGCCTTCCTGAGCAATATTTTTATACTCCTCCCTGGTCATTTGTCCAATCTTCCACTTCCTGTAAGCTTCTTTTTTGCGTTTAAGGTCAGCAAGGATTTCACTGTTAAGCCAAGCTGGTCGCCTGCCATATTTACTGTTCTTTCTACACATTGGGATGGTTTGTTCCTGCAACCTCAATAAGGATTCTTTAAAATACAGCAAGGTCTCCTGGACCCCTTTGCCCTTCGTTATTCTCCCAGGGGATCTTGCCCATCT